AGAGACAGGACCAATTGTCAAACTTTTGGTGTTGATCATTCGATTTCATCCTGGACACTACAGAAAATGGGCTTAAAGTGTAAAAAACCGAACTTCTCCTTTAAGACTTGGATTTTTAAGAATATTTTCAAGATTCTGAAGAAATAAAAAAAAAACACTGAAGCAGAAAACTTCTGGGTCTAGATTAAGTTCATATTGATTCAAACTACAAGATCATCTGTGCAGAACTTTAACTGCCAATAAATCATTTCCAGGTTCTCTTTAGGCCTTTTTCATTTTCCAGATCCAATAAACAGTAAGAGATCAATTCTAATCAGCTTTAGCAGTTAAATGGTTTTGATGGGTTGGGAGTTAAATGAGGTCATTTTAGTTCAGAAAAGAATAATTACTGTAAAGTGGAATAAAAACCCAGATGACATTAAAATCACATTTCCACTAAAATGCAAGGACTGTAAAGGGAGACACAGAGAAGTTAAACACTTCTGAACAAAGAACTAATTGACATAATCAATGTTCATTATGTAAAGTATTGGGATTTGATAAAGAAAAAATAACACTTTGTTACAAAGACACTGATTAGATTTTCCATCACTAATTCATAGAATAAACACTCTTGATTATACAGATTAAAATGTTATAAAGATCAAAATACGAGCTCTCAATGTTTTAAATTAAAATATTATATTTATTTTTAAAATAAGACTCAGAAAACTGGCAGCAAATCCTATTTTATTCTCCAATATTTCCATCCTCTGCAGTTCAGCCACAGATCGTCTGGAATGATTCTTCATCATAAGTCATAATGAGAACTGATCTGACTGATTAAAACATAGCAGATACTAACAGTGAGGAGCTGAACAACCAGCTGGGCAGTTCAAACAGCAGCTCCACTCATGTCATCATTTTTCATCACTAATCAGCTCCAGAAACCCTGAACTTCACAGCCCACAGATCCTTAGGCGGCAGCCTGTTTATCTGGGGATGATGAACAAAACTGTTAAGATCAGAGGAAGAAAAACTACAATAGAGACACAAACAAGAAACAGGACAGAAAAGATTGAAGATAGAAATGTTCAAACTTCTTCTGATTAAGAGCCAGGATCAAACATTTACTGGAAGAGACGGAAAGAACCAGAACAGAACCAGAATAAAACCAGCTCCAGCAGCAGCCTTGGTATAGCACTGGAAGCTCATTGGTGGAAAAACCCTAAATGAAGGTTTGAGTGGAAACAGAACCAAACCTTTGGATCCTGGAATAATCCCAGCTTCCATCTTTAAAGGACTGGAAGAGGACAAAGTTTACAAGGAATCTTTTCCAGGAGTTTCAGAAAGAAACCGACTGAATGTGAAAATGTTTCTGAGTGAAAGAGACAGACATGGAGAGACCAAACTATCTGTTCTACTGTGGGAGAGTTTCTCTGACAGGAGGAGACTATTTAGACTCAACAGAGAAACACTGAGGAACCGGAACGGATCCAGAATCCAGCATAAAGAGGTTCAGTGAATGTGGTGTTGAAGGTGAAGAGGTGGATCAGTGAGTTAGAGGAGACTCTGTAGAAGGACAGAATGCCAGCAGGACAGTCCACATACACTGCTACTCTGTTAGAGACAGAGGAGGAAGAGGAGATTTGTGTTTTGTTTTTATTGTGCCATACATAGTAACCTTTATAATCAGAGCAGTCCAGACTCCAGGAATGATCATTATATCCAAACCAAGAGTCGTAACTGCCTCCTTTCCTCCTGATTCTTCTGTAACTCACTGATATATTAACATGTCCGCTCCACTCCACCTCCCAGTAACAGCGACCAGTCAGATAATCACTACACAGCAGCTGAGGCCAGTATTCAAATCTGTCTTGATGGTCAGGATATGTAATAAGATCCTCCACACATGTCACCTTCCTGTTGTCTTCAGACAGTTTCAGGTTTCTGTTCACTGTGTTTGTGTCGATTGTAAGCTGACAGGAATCTGATGGAGAGAACAAACACAATCCAGTTGCAATTATTGATCATTTATTGATGCTTTGATTATGATTCCTGAATCAGTGATGGACAGTTTGAAGATGGTTGAATGTGAGCTGCTTTGTTGTCATGAATCCAATGAAAAACACACTTACACTTCCTCAGACCTGGTTTCAACCATCGGACTCCATCAGGGTCCCTGAAAGGAGGAGGGGGGTTCAGACCATCAGTGTCTTTCAGCAGGAAAACATGGACATTGTAATAGATCAGATCAGATTCCACTCAGACTTGCTGGAAAAACTGGATTGGGGTTATTCGGACTCTGTGACCTGCTGTATAAATTGTCTAGTCCATAGTGGAAGAAACCAAACTGATAGAGCAGAATCAAAATAGACAACATGATGCAGTCTGTACTGTCTGTCAGCTGCTAACAATGAACTATGCTGTATAAAGCCAGCTGATGGGTGAGGAACCTTGGCTCATGTCTGTGAGCCAAGCAGCAGTCAGCCAGGCCTCTGGACCCAATTCTCTTCATTTCCTACTTTGGACATTGAAGAGTCCAAATCAACCAAGCTGGCATTTCCTGTCTCACTACTGAAGGTTCTGCCACAGCAGACATTACATGGTTCTGTTCTTCTTCACTCAGAATCCAACTATCCAACATTTGGACCCGTCTATTGGAATGGAGCATCTCTAAAGTCTGTAGTTGTCATGTTTCAGCATAGTTTGAACTAATTCTTTTATTTTTTTTTTATCAGGTAGGAGGAGGACACCATCCAGTCTGGTTCTTCATCTCCAGTTTGAAGAGCTCTCACATCACCAAATTTTATTTAGTCCAACATCCACACGCAGGTTTTTCTGTATTTTCTTGGACAAGATGAGCTGCAGCAGCTTCATCTGCTCAAAGATCTCCTTCAAAGAGTACTGACCTGTCCCAGACTTGAATTACTAAGGTCCTCTGCCATGATAGGAGCAGCATCCAGGTGAATGTTCTAATCTTAACTGAACAGGCCCATTTACACTCCCTTTGTAAGCCAATGCAGAGAACGGTGCAAGCATGGTAACCAACATAACTGTTGGGTGTAAATGGCAAAACTGAATAGGACCATGCCAGAGACATCAGAACCGTGCTAAACTGGTACTAGTTCATCAGTAGGGTTCTGTGCGGTTAGGTTCTGGCTCAGTTCTCATATAAGAAAGAGCACATGAGCAGACCATGTCAGTCAGTCTCCATAATCATGAAGTTACAGAAATTTATTAAAATTCCCTACCCTGCCATACGATTTTGAGAAAGATTCTGCCTAGCAGTGTGATGAACTTCAATGTCTGTCATTGTTTCCTGAGTCTGCAAGCCCTGATTAGACCACCGTTTGTTGTATCCACTTCCCAAAAGCAGACTCTGTGAAGAAAATTCACCAAAGGCTGCCTTCTTTGCCTGACTCTCCAAAAACAACGAAATATCACAATGATAACAAAACATCCTGAATGTTAGGGGCACCCTGCCATGTTGATTTTCTTTTTTACATCAAGACACCATTTACACACCATGCTAGCGTGGTGTGTAAATGGTTGTAAGGAACGGAGCTGGGAAGGGTTAACTGATCCAAGTTCATTCCGAACTTGGCACAGATAATTTTTCAGATGGTAGTGTAAATGGGGCTTTTGTCTGACTGAGGTGCGATATAGAATGCTGTTTTATTTATTGATATAAACAGACTGACCCAGAAGGACAGTCAGAGCAAGTAAACTGATGGACAGATGCTCTAGATGTGCTAAATCAAAATGGGAAATTCCTGATGTTTACACCATGAAAACATCTGTTATTAGATACGACATACACTCCGTCCATTCCTACCGGTGCTGCTCTGTCCATTGGAAAATAATTTGACAGTATCATTGTGAGGTCCATAACCACTGAGGTTCTCTATGTCTCAAAGAAGCAGACAGGTTTCCGATCTCTGATGTTCTGGTGGAACTTTACTCTAGACACAGATGATCCAGTTTGATGTTCCGAACCTTGAGAAACAGCAACAAACGTGGTTGTTTACTGGTTTCGTTTCTGATTCAAGCAGGTTCTCTGGAGGCCATCTGGAGTCTACAGACTTTCCAGGAATTGCTGAGTAGATGGTTCTAAAAAGTCCAAAACTGTCAGTGTTCTGGAAGTAGTTAGAACTAAAGTGTTTGGTTAAAAAAGTGAACTTTAAGAGAAGTTAAATCAAAGCACAGTCAGGTCAGAGGGACCAGGACAGCGTTTGATCTTGGTCACCATGGTTCTAAATCAGACAATGAAACAGATGATGAACTAACTGCCGTCTGTTCAGCTGAGAAACCAACCACTCAGAGGGATTTACCTGAGCATCATCAAAGTAGCATTTAAACCATTTGGATCTGTGAAACAAACAATGCTGTTCCTCATTAGAACCCAGAAAAACAAGTTTCAACAAATTCTCACCTGAATATTTCCAGTGTCCAGTCTGAACCAGACAGAAACTTCTCCCCTAAATCTTGGAGGTTGTTGTTCTGCAGGTCAACCTCTCTCAGATAGCAGGACTTGGACCTCAGAACTGATGACAGAACTTCACAACTTCTCCCTGAGAGGTTACAGGATCTAAGTCTGAGAGACAAAATGAAACACGTCAAGGAAGAACAAACAAGTGGTATTTGGACAGAAAATCTATAGTCAGGATGATCAAAGTTTGCTCTGATAAAAATAGAAACTCTGTATTGGGTCACTATTTATGGCCAACTGTTCTGCAGGACCCTTGTGGTTTGGTTTGGCATTTACCTTTCACATCCAGTACTTATTACTGACATGGGCCCCTGAGGACCTGGTAACGCCCTTAGTTTTTAAACCCTACCTGCCAACTAACAAGTCTCTGCCCTACTCCACAGGTAACCTGCTGCCTTTAGCTTTGGAGATGATTGTTCAGAACATTACAACACTTCTATATCCATCCTCCACTCATGCTCACCATACACCATTGATTTCACTGACTTTCACACTCCATGGTGGAAACCTGTATTTTAACCTCAGTTTGTGTTGAACTCATTTCTATTTCAGACTACTTAGATGGTGGGTCTCCCTTTTGTTGTAGTATCTATGCCGGGTCAGAACCACAATACATGGAAGATAAAAGTTGGAACAATGTGCTACTCTCTACATAGACAGAGGTATAGATTAATATGACTTGAGACATATTAGAAAAAGCCAAGATTATGATGATAATGTCATAGCTTTATAAGGTTCTGTTTGGTTAATTTAAAAGCTTAAATTTATATCTAGTCTTATCTGCAGATGTTAAAATAGAAATGAACTGAGTAGAGGTATAAATTATAATGATATACAAATTAAGCCATAATCCAACTAACCTCTGTACCTTCAGAATTTTGTTAACGTAAGAGATATCCAGTTTGTGTGGGTTGTTTGTGTGTTTTTTCTCTCTCCACCAACAGGTGGTGCCCTGTCCTCATTGGGCCTCGCTGCACACCTGCGGCTCATTGGTTCATTACTGGAGGAGTACTTGAGCAGGGGGCTGTCACTACCTTGACGCCAGAGTGTTTGCCAGTTTTGGGTACTCTAGCCAAGCTCAGTTTAGCTGAGTCTAACCTGAGCTTGGTTTCTCTGAGTCTTATGTTCTTTTTGTCTTGGTCCTGTGTAACTGGATACCTGGACCTTCTCCCACTGGAAGGATTTACTGAGTTCACACTGAGCAGGGAATAACTTCCACATGATCGGTTCAAGTTCCCATCAGAGATCCAAGTGACGGTCCGCTCCATTACTCCTCCGGGTCCAATGTATGTCTACCTTTCCGCTCTCCAACGAGTTCCCTCTTCTCTGGATAAACTCAAACAGACTGGATTCAAGGATTGACAAGAGCCCCCTCAAACGCGAGTCCCACTCCAGAATAATTCAGGCTGCAGTCTCTTTTCCAACGGTCCCTGAACTTAACTCTGTGATCGCCCCTTCAGAGTTTCCAGTTCCGGTTCACCTGTTCACTGAGTTCCAGATCCAACCACCATTCACATTGCATCAAATAAACCTGTTAAACTTTTCTCTGTGTTCTCTGAGTGGTTTCTCTGCATATGGGTCAGATTCCTTAAACCAATTATGACAGACATTTTATTATAATGACTGAAAAAGTGAATAAAACTATTCAGACCTGAGAGTTTCCAGTTTGCACTTTGGACTCTTCAGTCCAGAAGACAGCTTCTCCACTCCAGAATCCTGCAGCTTGTTGTTACTCAGGTCCATCTCTCTCAGATTAGAGGACTGAGAGCTGAGAACTGAGGCCAGAACTTCACAGCTTCTCTCAAAGAGGTTACAGTCGTTCAGTCTGAAGAGACAAAGAGAGAAATAAAGAAGAAAAGTTTGGATGGATTAAAACCACAGGCATAACCTTTTTGTTGGACTGGTCTGAAATGGCCCTTCAATAATTTCTTCTTTTTGTTCCTTTTTCCACCAATTTACTTAGCCAGCAGTAACTCGGGTTGGGTGCTGATGTCTATGTTCAAAGCGTTTTGAATAATTGTTTTTTTTTTTCTCTCCTTCTGCTCAGTGACCCCCAAATCAGTGTAACATTATGGGATCTGTCACTTTGAGACATATTATTTATGTAGCTATGTGGTATATTCTTTATATAGCTATGTGGTTGGAGGTGAGGCACACACAGTAGTAACACTTGCTGAATCTTAACCAGCAGCTACTTAGATATATGTTTAAGTACAAGTTAGGATGGTTAAAAAAAGATGCCATCGTAATTCATTCGTTAGACATGCCTCTTCACTGGCGCCAGCGAGGAACAGGCAGCCTGTTTCAGCAACTCCCTTTATATTTTGATATATTATACTTTTTTTTAGTATTTTGGTTTTTGGTGTGACTCTGTCTTTATTCTTTTTGTCGCAGTCTTTGCATGCGGAGCCAGCTTGTTTGACCAGGCTCCCATTGTTTACACCCGGAACCAGCTGCTTGCCCTATGAAGTTCTGCTGTACTGCTGCACACAGAGCGGGTCCATATCCCCCATGAGCTGAGGAGGAACAGACATGGCAGTCATGCAGGAGTCAGACGATACTACCGGGGAAGGAGGTACAGACCAACCATCACATCCATCATTATGGGCAACGTCATATTTTTCTCTAACGAGGAGGATGAGCTGGTTGCTCCAATTCAGCATCAAAGAGGCTACCAAGTCACTATCATTCTATGCTTGTCTGAGACAAGGCTAACCAACAGATCCAAGGAGAGTGGTAACAAGAGAGGAGGGGCTGTGTTGTGAACAATAGATGGTGTAACTCTGGACACCTAGCCATTAAATAGATGCTCTGCATCAAGGACATTGAGCTTCTAGCAGTTAGCATGAGACCAAATTATCTACCCCGGGAATTTACACAGCTTATTCTGATAGCTGTGTATGTCCCCACCTCTCATAATGCTGCAACAGTCTATGATGTCCTGAACCATCGGCGTCGCCAGACCCCATTTACTGGGGCACGTGCCCCAGTATAAATCTCATGAATATTTGCAACAGTGATACATTTTAGTAATGCATCAATTTAGATAATTCCAACGGGAGGAGACGTATATTTCTACTCAAATGCGTAGCAAGTGTGTTGTTTACTCCAAGTTGAGGATGAATTAGCGCCCCCACGTCAGCGCATGTCACTGAATGAACTGCAGGTNGTCTCTGAGTGAGGTAGGGCAGAAAACAGAGAGTGCATTTAAAGACATGGAGCAGGGCAGTCGTGATCGTATAGTGGTCAGTACTCTGCGTTGTGGCCGCAGCAACCCCGGTTCGAATCCGGGTCACGGCAAAACTGACGAAAAGGACATGCTCACACCAATTGCAGCGCAAGTATTACTGAGCATACAGGAAGAGAGGTTTGTTTTGAAGTGTTTGGATAAGGCAGGGTGTACCCCTGAACTTTCTTCCATTCAACACACCTCATATAACTCAAAGTTTTACATCATTGCTGCAGAACACTACATAATACAGCTATGGTTCCTTCTGAATTAGAGAAAATTGAGACCAAGCAGACATGTGTCAGAGGTTGCCATGATATTGAATTATTAGAACCACTACCCATTCCTAAATGCCCATGTTTGGGAATGGGTAGTGGAATGACTACATTCCTAAGGGAATGTAGTCATTCCCTGAGGACTCCCATCCTCTCAGGGAATGACTACAATCCTCACTGTCATTGACAGGTTCTCCAAATCCTGCCACCTCATCTTTATTGGCAAGCTGCCCAACACTCTACAAACAGCCCAAATGCTTATTAAACATTTCTTCAAGCTCCATGGTATCCCTTACGATAACCTCTCTGACCGGGGTCCTCAGTTCATCTCTCAGGTGTGAATACTTCTGTTCGGTTGTCGGTGCCAGTTACACCCTCACCTCCTGTTATCATCCACAGACCGACGGCCAGACATAAAGAATGAACCAACAACTGGAAACCATCTTCATCATCCCCCACCAATTGGAACAACTACCTACCCTGGGTTGAGTACGCACCTCACTCCCACATCTCCACAGCAACCAGTCACTGTCCTTTTGAAATAGCTCTGGATTATCAACCTCCACTTCTCCCTCCCAATGAACTCCATATCCCAGTCACCTCATTCAAAAATATATCACCTGCTGCCAACAAACTTGGAGATCAACTGTCACTGCTCTTTAACGCACCGCTGAACAGAATAGGAGGTTTGCTGACCATCTTCAAGTTCCTGCCCCTGATTATCATCCCGGTCAGAAGGTTTGGTTATCTTCAAAGGACGTTCTCTCCAACCCCTCTGCCAAGAAGCTAGCCCCCCAATTCAACTTAGTTGTTGCTGACAGGTGGGCGTGGTCCCACACCTGTGGCTCGTTGAGACTGCTCGGATGAGCTTAGGAAGAGCGTTAAGTCTGTTAAACAGTCGTGGTCTGCCTAGGCCAGTCCACATCACTGTAACTTGATATTTTGATTCCTGATTCTAACCTGTCTCCTGGCTCCCTCAAATTGTTGAGCTCTGGATCGCTCGCCCGCCTGTCTTCGTGCTGGCCTCTGAATCTCTGCTGCTCTGATTCTGCTCTGGCATTCCCCTCGAGCCCCCTCTTTACCATCGAGTCACAAGAGATATCTTCGCTGGATTCTTTCAGCTGCTCCCCAAACCTGCCTCCACTGCAGTGCTGCTCGGGCCCCCGCCTAAGTCTCACTTGTCACTCAGCCACCTCCTCCCATTGGAAAGCTATGAGTTACAGAACCCATTCCTCCACACTCCCCGGATAGGTTATCCATACTTGGCGATAAGTAGAACAGCAACAGTGCAGGTTTCTTTTGCTTTTCTTAGTCTTAATCAATTTCCTCTTTCCTAACTACTAACGTTCCGAACTGACCTTATTTCTTTTTAGTCAAATAAACCTCTTAAACTGCTCCTATTTTCCCTGTCTCCTCACTATGATGGAAAAAACGTCTAGAGAAAAAGTAAAAAAATATCTTAAATTATGTCATGTTCGGCTGAACGTATTTAGCCCACATGCAGACCACACATGGCAACAGGGATCAGTTAACTGTTTATTGAGTTTGAGAGAGAAAATGTTAGCAACTGAGTCGACGAGGAAGCAACAGCACCGGGACCCGTTCGACTTCACCGGACGCAGCAACCTAACCGGGGGAGGACGGAGCGGACTCAGGCTCTGATCGATGGAGCTGGTGGCGAGTGTCTCAGTGACAGGTGGGGCTCGGGCTTGAGGGTGACAGAGCTGAGCTTACTTTCCAATGACCCGGGGCAGCTGGAAAAACCAGAGTGGCTCGAAGCACCTTGCTTGGAGCCGGGAGAAATGGAGGACCCAGTGGGAGCTCAGAACCTGGAAGAAAGAAGCAGAACCGGCAGAAACTGCATGGCCCTGTCGGCTGAGTCCTGACAAATTAAGACAATGCAATGGTGTTTTCTTATTTTAAGTCTACATTTTCTTGTTCCATATGCAAAATATTCTTTTACCTCCTTAATCCAAGATAAAATGCACTTTTTTTAAGAAAAAATGACTTATCTAGATTTTTTCCAGTGTACCGTATTTTCACGACCATAAGGCGCACCGTACTAAAAGGCGCAGTCTCAGTTATGTGTGCCATTTCTGTATTT